TAAATCTAAATATTGAAATCGGGCAACAACGAAATATTACATGATGAACTTATTTATTGAAAAATCATAGGAACCAACCTGCCATAACGAATTCTTTTCGTCAACGGTACCATCAGCGAGAAATCTTTTCTGACTCATTTTTAGAATCCTTTTCTTCCCATCAATTTTTTGGCTAACGCTAAGAAGAGGATATCCCATCTGCTTTGTCCAGGTTGACATTAGTGATTCAATGTTCTAAATTTCTAGTTCATTAAAAATGTTGTCACAAAGATTTCGCACAATCGAAATTTGATGGTCAAAATTTACTGACGCACTATAATACAAAGTTCGATATACAAAATAAAAAATGCAAAAGTGAAAAATTTAATTCGGTCAATTTCATGCTGTTTTATGTTCCTTTACAGACTTTTTGTATTAAAAAATTGAGAAATGTCAATAGTTCAATCAATCAAATGAATTTTGATTCCGTTTGCTCAAATGAAAAGGAAATAGCTTACCTGACTGGAAGCTTCACTTAGCGCATTCCACAAATCAACTGTGACTGCATTGCTGTACTGGAATCTTTTGAGGTATATCCATAACCCTTTTTGGAATGTTTCTTCACCCAAATAATTGCACAACATTCGGATGATCGAATTTGATTTTGCATACGTAATGCTATCATAGATTTCTTCCATTTCATTAGGATTATTTATTTCAACCTGAAAAGCTAAATGCATTTTTACGGATTGCCTTAAGTGTTAGTTCAACAAACATATTGCCTGGCAAATTTCGAGAACATATAATTTCTTCATACATGAATTTTTTGGGAGGGGAACAACTATTTTTAGAGCTTAAAGGTAGTCCATAGTTTTTTAGATTCCGTTAACTATCTTATCAATATTTAATCCCGACTTATTCTTGTTATGAACAGAACACACTTTTCTTTTAAATCTCTTGAACAGCGAGCGCGAAAAATAATACGTATATTGCTGCATGTTCACATAAACTAACCTCGACCGGATGAGAGCTTCGCAAAGCATCTAAGTCAAAGCCTGCTGCAAGTTCGTCATTAAGAAAATGAAGCCATATTTTAAATTCTGGGTAATTAGCACCAACAAACATATACTCCATAAACGAAGCGAAGCCTTCTTTTAACCACAAATCCGTCCACCATTTCTGTTAAATATTAAGTTACAATGCAGATTAACCAAATGATCTCAATTAAATTCATATCATATTAATTTTGCATGCTACGCTCTACTCCAATAGAACTCACTTATGTCATATAAATTCAGACTTTCAATTGAGGCTTATACCAATCAATTAATTTAAAACAACCAACCATTGTAACAAGATCACCAAACCAAAGATGAGCAAGTTCATGAGCCACAACAAGCGCGATACGAGATTTTTGCCTTGTGGAAGATTTGGCAGGATCAACTAATAGTGTTACTTCTCGATATGTTACCAATCCCCAGTTTTCCATGGCACCTAAATAACTTATAAAACTGAAGATCTTAAAATGCAATCAATATAAAATGAAATTAAGGTGTTGCTATTCGTTTAATTAGCAGATAAATTACAGCTGAATTATTCGACAGATAGCTGAACAATTTATTGGCAATTAATTTACAGTTATTCAATTCAACTTCAAATTAATGCGATAGATAAGATTACTACCCATGCTGAAATCGGGGATAGCTATCAGATCACATTTGGGTAAAGGGTAGTCGATACCAAACCATTTACCGTACCAATCAAGCGCTTTTATTGCAACTTCCAATGAAAACTCTCCCTGATTTTTTCTACCTTCTGCTGTATATATCCGTACCAAACAATTTCCATTTGTTTTACTCTATAAAGAGAGGATATCAGGGAGATATCCTTGTATAAACTAATAGATTTCTAAATAAATGTTAAAATGCCTTCTACAAACAGAGTTTAGAACTCATAATTTATATATAAAATGTGTTGCTACAAGTTTTAATTAAAGTCATTGCCTCAATGACTTTGATTAAAAGCAAAAGCATATAATCAAACAACAAACTTCTAAAAAAAATTGAAATTGACAATGCCATTGAGAACAGGTGAGTTGAACTTTTTACTAATGATAGATTTTATGTACAAAATTTTATGTACAAATTTTATGTGCAAAAATTGAAAAAATTATGAATATTATAACCTCGATATATTCCAGACGACCAACAGCAAATGCAACAAGATATGTTGACATTAGTGGTGTAGTTGCAAATTTCACCACCTTCTTATTGTCGATCTTTGTTTCGCTTACCACATTCTGCAATTGTTATAAATTATATGAATAAAATTGAATTGAAATTATTTACAAATCGAATTTTAAGAATCGGAAGTATGCACATTTCTGAGATCCTACAAACTATATTATGATCTACTTTATAATGATATGCAAATATAACTATCAACACATTCCATCTTACCAATGCCGCTATCATTTATCAATTATCTCACACCAATATTTTAAAGCATTGAAATGAAATGTGGGAAATAATGAGATTTCAATTTATCAATTTAATCATAGGATCGCAATCATAGATCTGCCAGCTTTGCTGCAAAATAAATTTGAGTATTTTATTAAAAACAATATCATGTTTGCAAAACACATCGAAATGGAAATTAAGGTCACCATATTCGAAAGTGCTGTTAGTTCTTCATCCACTATAAGCGTAATATCGAATTTTGCTTTATAAATCGGTTCATCCCAGCAAGGAAATGCAAGCCTAGCGAATGTACTCTGAAATTATAATTTAATTAAGTTCCCAAAAAACAGAAAAACATCAACACTGCAAATGATAAGCAAAATTCTTGACTGAAATTGAATCTGTAAACAATGGATGAAAGGATTTCAAAATTAGAGGGACAGAAGTTCTTGAACGCTTTCAACAATATACAGTTGAAATAAGCTAACTTCAAATTGTGTAGCAGCTAAATAACATTCCCTTCCATTGCCATCTTTGTATTTTGATCGGTAGAAACCCCGCATTTTATCATTGAGTTCACCCACAAAATCCAAAAAAATTTTTGCTTTTTGAGGAGAAATGTGCTTAGGTAACTTCAGCGTTACAGTTGTCCATTTTTTATCATATTCTATATCGAGATCTTGCAACACTGAAAAACCTTGCAAAAATTGACCGTATATTCTTCAAATAATTTAAACAAAAGAGGACAAATAAAATCATTTAAAATGAAAACAGAAAGTTGGAAAGTAATTTTGCCTCACTGTATTTATATCAAAAAAAAAACTTAAAAGTTTGAAAAGATGAAGTAATCAGGATTGAGAGCCTCTCTTTTTCAAACCTTAATCATTCCATGCATTCATTACAAATAAATGCTTTCAATACAACATTTTTCATAAAAATCAGGCTGAAAAAAAACTAACCCGATCCGTCACTCAATGTAAGCCGAGCCTTTTTGATATCAATTTCACTTGAATGCAACTTCAAATGATCCGTGCCTTTTAAAATCTATAACAAATGATAATCTTGAACCTTTCTCATTAACGCGTCTTTTTTTTTCATGCACAAGTTTATTTAAGAGATGTTAGAAAATGAAACTCGGTTTATTTCAAATATCAAATAATAGTTATGACTTTCCAACAAATACCAAAGGAATGTTTGTTTATACATATGCATAAGCTGAAATTTTGACAAAGTAAAAGGGACAGATTTTAAGGAGGTTAATTAAAGATATACATTTAAAAAAATTAAAAACAAAATTTCACTGGCAACTAACCTCGATGTCAGTCGTTTCCTGTCCACGGAAAGTGAAATTTTTAAGGTCCGGCGACAGGGTTAGGGCATAATGTGTTGGTTTAACTAATTCTGGCAAACGCTCAAACTTCACTGGTACAACACAAGACATCTCTTTTCTTGATATTATTTTAATTGATGCTGAAAAGTATAATGTATGATTTTGGTTAGCTAATAATAATATATTTATTGTCTAGCTAATTTGTGGAGCATTAGAATGGACATGTTTATTATTAACTTTTTCGCAAAATCTTACAGTAAGAACCACTTTAATTAAACGGACCACTTGACTACTGAAATTTCGTCTTCTTAAGCAGTAACTTCTTAGAGTGTATCTCAATATCGTTATGGGAGCAAAAGAAAAAGCCTTCCAAAATACTGAACTATTAATACAAAAGTTATAAAATATGAAAGAATAACTAATATGAAAATTTATACTTCGTCATCAAACAATAGTTCAAAGTGAAATTAAGCTACTCCGAAATCATTTTGATCCTGAATAGTTGAAACTTCACCGGAAGAATTTTTGCATCCTCACATGAAGCAAAGTCAATTTGCATATCATTGGTGCAGTGAAGAAATCAATACTATGAATAATGTATTGCTATGGAATCAACCAATGCTATGAAATCAATGCTATTCTTGACAACATTAACACTGCAAAAATTTTTTATTGACAAATGTGAATCAATTGTTGATTGCCATCAAACAATTTGTGTGCTACTTCCGCAGTTCCACCGGTCAACTTCTCCATATCAGACGTTTTAAATATCATGAATAAATTAGCGAGAGAGAGATCAACCGTTTACTTACATGATAATAAGAGACGGCGAGAATGATTCGTGCAGAACTGAAGTAATTTTATGTGCATGCGACGGTCGGCAACTCAAGTATGTGCCTAAGCCTGAATTAATTTAAATTTAAAAAGAAATTCAAATCTCTTAGTTTTGAACTCCACACTCATGATCGAATGAAAACCAAAATAATAAAACCAAAAAGCGCATCCGAAACGGCGAATGTTACCAGTGAACGCCCGTTAAAAACGTGCGACCGCGTTTATCTGTAGCGAAATTGTAGGGTATAGTGGTTTCTATTGTGGTTTACTAGAATCTTCATAGATTTCTGCTAGTTGTTCCGGGAGTTTCTAGTGCCCATTATGGCATTTTCTGTTGTTATCTGTCTATCTTTTCATATATATCATTTTCCCAAGTTTAGATATGTATTAGTTAATACCGTGCATTAATATGAATAATAAACCTGCTTTTTCTATTGCAAGATTGAAATACCTTATCTTGTTGGGCGAAGTTGTTAGATTGTTTGAGTTCAATGCGTAGTACAATTCCATCAATAATAAATATGTAGATACTGCTTTAGGAGGCATGAAATGACAAATTTGATAAGGCGTTAATACGTGAGATTATAATTTCATAAGTGTGTTTAATCTACGTTTCACAAAGTTAAACTGGGGATCCTGTGCCACGTTCCTTGGAGAGAGAGTTGCGGTTTCTTAGTGAATCCCGGGGTTTCTTTGCTTAATGTACGGACTTCTCGATCGGAGTGAATGACACTTAATATATGCATAATGTACAGGCGATAAAGTGTGGTCAAACATTATTTATTGTTGCCTTAATAGATGCAGGTGTCATGCTAAAACAATAAGGTGGTGTGAATAATGACAGTGAACAAGTGTAAAAAAAACTGTATATTTAGTAAAAAAATTAATAACTTGTATATATTTCGTATGAAAAGAAATATTGATAACGAAAGGAAAGATTCTGAGTATTGGTTTCTTTATAACAATAAAGTCCGATATTGGGTGGGAAGCATTATACGTTTTCATTTGGCTAATATTTCCCTTTGTTTGTTGCATCTTATTGGAATCAGAGTATGAGGTATATATTCCTGGAGTTCTTTACAATTATTATTTCTTCCATTTCTGACGGTCTAAATAACATTGACTGAAAGTATGACATATGTGCAATGCTACCACTGCCCATTCGTCAGCATTAATATCCTCTAGTTGTGTAATCAAATACAACATTTTTTTAACGCATAATGATGTAAAAGACTTTGAAATGGATGAGTAATTTTGATTATGTTCTCTAACTCTCTGCGCAGGTTTTGTGCAGGAGTGATAATAATTTTGATCTATGGCATATGTAAATTTATCTATCTTAGGAATTAAAGACGTACGACAAGAGATGTTATCAATATGACTACAAAAAACAGATCCGATTATCTTAAAGAAGGACGAAACCTGCGCAATAACCAGTATGATGGGAATAACGGTGAAGTAGAAATAATTCAGTTGGATTCATCTGATGAAAGCATTGAAGATGAAAGTGCCAGGTAAGTAATGATTGTGATAATCTTGTCATTGTTCACAATCTCTTAATTTTTTTACGCTATTTTCTTTTTTATTACTTTCAATTGTTTTCCTGTACAGAAGGCACTTTAATAAAAGGCTCAGTTTTTATTCGAGAAAAAAGAAATTTTCCAATCTCTACACCCGAAGAAATGCAAAATGCAGTTTGGCATTTCGAATTCTATTACTTATCATCAAGTGCAGCTGTTTTGGCCTGAGTAAGATTTGCATATGATTCCCGAAAAGGACTGTTGATTAAATCCAATTCATAGATCTCATTGCAGTGACGGCAAATTCTGGCAATTGATGCGTGCCTGTGCACAGCGAAAAGTTAGAGTGCATTCCTATTCATACGTATGTTATTTTGAAAGTTGTATCAGTCTTTAAATTTATCCAATTTTAATGCCTAGAAACATCACGTTATTTATCCCGGTATTTTCTTGACATAATATACAGACTTCTCGATCTCATAAATGATTCTTCATACATTGTATAATGTGCGGACGATGAAGTGTCATCAAAAGGAAAATGATTGTGATAATTATTATTTTAATAGAGGCAGGTGTCATTTTAAAATGGTGAAGCCGTGTAAATACAACACGATAAGAAATTGTATACTGCGCGTAGGTTTCAAACTAAAAAGTTAATAAAGTGTAATGATTTTAGCGTAAGCAGCAGTATTTCGCTATTGGTAGCGTTATACTTCATAGCACGGCTAGAACGAATTTGAGGAAGCGTTTGGATGATAGTAATGTGTATTATTATGATGTCGGTAGCGTGATTCAACTCTGCACTGTTATCAAAACTTCAACTTACGGGATGTATTTGAAAAGGCTCTCCAAACAGAAATCCAGGTGCTTTGTTGCTGTGGCCGAGCCAATTTTGTAAGCTACTTGTTTATTTTTCATTTATATCATAAAATTAAGAAGATTCTCTTTTTCTTTTATTTAATTCTTGCAATAGCTTCCTCTTCCTAGAAATTAATTTAGTCTTGTCTACTTTATCTTAGCTGCATTTGCTGAACATGCCTTTATCTCATGAGGTAACATCAAGAGTATGATGTATATATCTTTTCAGTCAGCAATTAAGACCATATTTGCTGGATGAAACAAGAATACGACCTTCTTCGATTGACACTAATGGACCTGTGCCGGTCTTGAAAGAGGCTTCGCTATTTAATGATAAATACTTGCAAGAAAAAGCTTCGGCACATTCGAAAGCTTCATCCACAAGGTCAGCCGTATACAAATGCCTTCGCAGTCTTAATTTTATTTTCTGCATTGATAATGCTATAGCAACATATTTTTCGATTTGCTTTACTTGTTTTTCTTTATTTATCATTTCTTTTATAACTGTTTTGACGGAACATCGAATTTCACGAGTTCTTGAAGTTGGATATGTATTTTGCGGTTGAAATTGAGTCAGTAATCATGTCCCTTATTGTATTCTAATCTGTTTTGGCAATTATCCACGAAGACAAACTTGTTCTAAGTTTTCCAGAGCTATGAATGAACAAGTGACAATCAATGATATTGAGGGTGAATTTTTCGAAAATCCATGTTATATGGAATTTTTAATGAACTGGCTTATGCATACAAATCTGGAGTGCGTTAAGAATACCTGCGGTGAGTTGATTGTTTCCTACTTATTGTATAAAATCAGCCATTAGCTGGTTTGTAATACTATTGATACTTTTTTGTTTTTTATTCGCTAAACTAATTATTATTTGAGTTTCATAATCATCACTGAAATTAGAAGGTGTCTGATGCAAAAGTTAGCTTTTCGAAGACGATGTTCAGCATGATTAAGGCAATTGTAAAGAACGATTGCGGTGTGTCAATTATGTACTGTAGTAAGATATGGTCATTTATTCAAGTCGGCAGATAAAATTTAATGATTCTTACATTTTTAAGTTATCAGACTAACGACAGAGCAGCAAATTGAATTGAATACTAGAGATGAAAATTATCATCACGTTTTTATGACGATCAATCATCTACCAGCTTCGCACTTTTTTGGTTCTGGTTTTGGTTTGGATCAAAAGAAAGCCTTCTGGGCGGCGAGCCGAAGTATTGTAAGACGATTGTATCATGCGGGTTTCATAACACCAGTTTTGTATCATACGATTGGTAAGATTAGAATATTTGTTTATTCATCCATAAATGATTTAATGAATTGATGCGGCGATTAGGCACTGGTCATTAGATTGATGAAACTCATCGGCACGCCCTTGATTAGGAAGGGTTTTAGTTGCATAAGCTTGAATAGAATTAATGACTTTTTACTTCTTTCCTGGTAGTGAAGGCGATGTAAAATTTCAAAGGAGGATGTGGAAAAAACCGTGTGTATTGTCGTTCTACACGTTTGCCATTACATTAGTCGTGTTATTGCACTTTTTCTGTAACATTGTAAAGAATTTTGAATTTTTTTTTGAATTTCATTATTTGTAAAAAAAATTTCAGGGAAATCTGGTAGATCTGAATTCTCCGGAAAGATAAAGCGTTGGCAGCGCATGAAGGAATGGAAAATTGTAAAGAATGCAATTGAATGGTTTAAAAAAACGATGACATCAAGTAAATCAATCTTCAAGATATCATTTTTCAAAACAAGCAGTTACAAAGACAACTAGCTTTTAATCGAAATGGGGAAATTTTGAGCTTTGAATGAATTTATGATTTTGATGAAAGAAAAATGTGAATTCAGAATATTAGTTTATGTTTTTAGAAATAAAATTTTAGCTAGAAATAGTAGGCTAGTACGTTTGAGCCTTTTGCAAAAAAACGACCTAACTTACATATTTCAATCTAATAATCCTGTTCCAAAGTCAGATATGTAGACTTTTGACATTCATGTATGCTTAGGGTGCTAAAACAATTATATCAATGAGGCTTTTCTTTAGATTGTTCTCAGAATGAAATAAAGTTCGTTTCTGATTTTCTTCCGTTTCATTTTGAAACATCACTGAACTTATTTTGTCGCCTAGAAATGCCGCGATGGGTTCAACTTACGAAGAATGGATTCAGTACCGAGGAATTTGTGAAAATGACAGATGAGGTGCTTGATGTCAATCGAGTCGTGGCACAAAAACATGAAATGAGATTGGATGGACTTGTAAAAAGGTCATTATTCTCTTTTCACCACAATTTTTTTCTGTTCTATATGCTTTTGTATTTTCCCGATTTGTAATAGAATATGTATTCGAATATATCGATCGAAGTTTAACCTGGGGAAGGTCATATAAGATTTTACTCCTTGTTCTTATCGATTAGGAATTTCATTACCTTCCTGAAGAACGATTATTTAATAATAGTTATATATTTATATAACACGAGTTTTTGTTGACAGTTATTTTGTAGTAAATCGCTGTTCGACATTACTCATATATCCAAACTTCAGTGAAACAATAAACTGTTTTATACAGGAAACGAAAATCAGATGAATCAATGAAATGTTTGATAGAAGCGAAGAGAAAAGAGAATTTTCTTTCGAGAAAAGTAAATTTTTTCATGTTTTAGCAAAATAGTAGGATAGAAATTACGCATATTTGCCCTTTCTACCTCTATGAAGCGCTTATACCCTTTTAAGAATTTCAAATACGATATCTGGTCCAATCATTTTTTTTTAGTTTTCTGAAACCACCATAGTGTTTTATGGGAGAAACAAAGATATCAGATCCCTTTAATGCTTCATTTAGAATTTCTTATTGGCAGAATTATTCCTAATTATACCTATTTTTTTTTAATAGGAGACTGAAGAAACAAAAGTGAAAGGAACGGCCAATTTTTTAAATGTTTTGAGTGTGCCGTCGACAAGCACTGCTTTGATAAGCAATTCCGGAGTGAATCTTTGTAAGAACTCAAGAACGATGCTGAAAGATGATGTTATTTCTATGGACGATGTAAGTACATAACTGAAATTTGAATAATGCAAATATTTTTTCCAATTTGGTTTCGCGTCATCATTGGAAGATACCTTAGTGTTTCAGCAGTGGCTTTTTCTCATTTTCTCAAGTGGAAAAAATTTTCAAACATATCATTAATGTTCAACTTAGTTGTTGGAAATAAGTATTTCAGGCGTTTCCTATCTCTCTCGCGAAAACTGTCAAAACGGCAATAGTTAGCAATCAAGATGCCAATCATGGTGTTTATGCTGGTATGTTTTCTAAATTCTGCAATATTAATTAAGTTTATTTGGTTGAGAGAAAAAGCTGTCTCCATATTATAGGTAGGGCATTTGATCCAAAAGATTATGAATTTGATTTGGAATTTTAACTGCTCAAAAATTTTAATCAGGGCTATTTCAAGATTGCTGAACTTTTCTTTTGATTTTGACATCTATGAGATATGGCTTCTCTGACATTGGTAAAGATATTACACTTATGATTAGTTCGTTCCACTGTTTTATGATGCTTTTATTTTAAGAAATTTTCAAACACGGATGAGGGTACTAAATAATTCAGATTAATTTGATTAACTTAGAAATTCACTCACATTATTTATCACATTTTTTTGCAGCTATGGAGGGAGTGAAAGCTAAGTCGACGGTTACGTTTGAAAATCGCTTAGTTAGTAATAATGGAAATTTGTCTTGTTATGAAATCGCCGATGATTCAGATGTAATTTTAGAAGAGGTATGGGAAGAGTTTTCTATGATTGGAACCTCTTAACATAGACATTATTTTGTTTTTCATTATTTTTTTTTCATTATTTGCTAATGCTAGGCAAGTAAAAACGAACATTATCATAACTGACGATGTTTGTTTTTGTTTGCATAACATTAGCAAAAATTATTGGTAATTTCCAACTTTGCTTTAATCTATTATTTTTCACAGCGATACACTTTTCTTTTGAAAAATTACACATCTATCATTATTCTCGACTTTACCTAACAATTTTGGGAGCTTCCTTTTGATCAATAAATTTCAAATGGCATAAGTAATCTTTGTATGCATAAAATTTTATGTGTATATGTGAATAAGAATCCGCAATGAATAGAAAAAAATTTCTTATGCCACATAAAATCGTTCATAAAATTTTTGTTAAACGATCATACCTGCTGTTATAGATTCTGCCACCTGTAAACATACACACTACAAGTGTGCCTTCGCCACCTTTTAGCAGTTCAGGATCAAAATATGAAACCTTATGTTCAACTTTAGGTAATTTTTGGCATAATTGTAACCTTAAATTTATATCTTGCAATAATATATTATCTTTTTTAAATTAAGGAAATTTAAAGATGATTTTGGTTCATTCGTCTTACTACAAGGATAATTATTCCTTCTGAGCAACCACTTTTTTACATCGAATTTAGGAGTCAGCTGTATGGAAGAAACATCAGTCATACGTAGCGTTATTAGAGAAAAGAGGGCAGCGTTTTCAAAAGAATTCAAATCGTTTGATGAACATATTTGGAGACATTTTCAGATCAATGGACAGGTATTTTTGAATTTCTACTTTTGGCTATAATTTCTGATACTGCGTGTTACCTTGACTTGGGACAAAACTCTCAGAAGTTTCAGGATGACCGGACGTTCTCGTGGAAAATGACAGTTCGACAAAAGCTTTTAACACTTATTCGTCAGGTTATTTATATGTATAATAAGATTGTTTTGTCTTGAAATTAATCAAAATTTTTGAATCACAAATGTTAAAAATTTTGACTGATAATTAGCTTTAGATTTACAAGGATTCTAATTTGATAGCTGTTGGTTCGACTGTAAATGGTTGTGGCTCATATAACTCGGATATGGATTTATGTATTTGTCAACCCTACAAAAATCATAGCTTTGACGCCAACAGAAGGTCAGTCTTGACATGAATAGTGAAATTTTATTTTTAAATGGAATAATCCAGCATCCAAAGCGTAGAAACTCTGACTTATTGTGTACATGAAATGACACACTGTGGGATTTTCAGTTACAGCATACATGTGCTGAGAAAATTGCATAAGAAGTTTGTTACGGATTGGCGTCAAATGTTCAAGACCTGTCAGTATATACCAGCTAAAGTAAGTTTTGGAAACATGCTGAAAGATATTAGTTGTACTGCAGTACTTTCTTGAGAAGTAATTTTCATATGTCTCAATACTCAAATGAATTTGAGTAAGTTATATCAGGTTCCAATAATAAAACTGGAAATGGCCGCACCATACGAAGAACTGGAAATAGACATTAATTGTAATAACGTAGCTGGAATATATAATTCACACCTTCTTCACTATTATTCAAGGTATTTTCACAATTTTTTGTGGCAAATGCAAGCTAAATAAGCTTGGTTGAAAGTTTAAAAAATAAATTTTATTTCCTTTTAAACTGATGAAATAATTTATGTGTGGCTTGGACTACAAATATTTAGGGTTGACGATCGTTTCCCAGCACTATGCTTGCTTGTAAAACACTGGGCCATAAATGCTGGTATTAATAACGCTATGATGGGAACATTGAATAGGTCTGTCCTTCATTTCGTATTTAAACTGAGTATCTGAAGTTTGTCGCATTATTTCATCGAATAGTATCCACTTAATGCATAAAGGCATCCACTTTACTGCCTTTCGGTCAATTTTTGCCTAAGCTTCACGAAGTTTCATTTTCAAAGTCATAAGCCTCAGTTTTTATTTGGCTATTAAGAAGTGTATTTTTGAAGCTACTCACTGATTTTGATGGTTCTACATTTCTTGCAATGCGGGGCATTACCACCGGTTTTGCCAAATCTTCAATTTCTCTATCCTTCTTTGTTCAATGCAACTTGCAGTCTAGACAGCTTAGAGCTGTTCCGAGATCTACCGTATCCATTGCCACGTATGTTTTATCGAACATTCTTCCAAAATTTCTCATCTAATTATTACTAGTTTTGTTTTACGTTTTAACTGTGAATTTTTTCTTTGAAATCATTTTAGCTCGTGAATTTAACACCGATACGGTTGGTGAGTTACTAATAGCATTTTTCGACTACTACGCTCGTTTTGATTTCAAAAATAAGGCAATATCGATTCGTAATGGATGCGTGTATGGCAGGTAACTATTTCATTTTCTTAATTATTGGGAGTATTTGAATTTTATCGTTGATCTTTTCACGTAGTTTGTTCTTGTGCATGTATGTTGCCTTAGCATACATGCCTATCATATATTTCATATATTTGTCTTCTCCCCTACAGTGTTAGTACACCAACTCCATTGAATTCAGCAAGCTTATATCAGGCGGATCATTTTCCAGTTCGTGTTTGCAGCACTTATTCCAAACTTTGCCTCCAGTGTGCACTATTTATTTGGCTTATTTACTCTCTCATTTTTTCAGGGAGCTATTAGCAGACAATACTGTGCGCTTTAAAATATTTATCGAAGAACCGTACGATCAGAAGAATACGGCGCGGTGCGTAACAAGTATTGAAAATCTACAGCTGATCAGAGAAGCATTTACATCTGCAAGAAATGCTTTCTTGCAAACTTCGGCTGGACCGCCGAATTTGGAATGTATTGGTGTCCGCTGACGCTTATTTTCATTTCTGCATTTGATATTCTTTTTTTATGTAAATAAACATGTGCTAAGTAGTTGATATACGTACATTTGGGTTTTCTTATTTTTTATGTTATTCAGTTATGAATTTTCAAAAATTTCCTTTCATAATTTTCCTTTCCGCTTCCTTTGCTTTTCGCATTAGGATCGACACGGGTTTTTTTAAATATATAGTCTAGATAGTTTGAAAAAGACTTATGCAAAAATATATGATTGAAATGGACTTTGCTAATTCTGGTATTCTGGATCCTTTGACAAAAGATTTATGGCTTTGGGAATCGTCCTGTATACTTTGTTTAATTTTCCACTCTTCATTATTTCTGAAGTAAAAATTACTTCCATCATTCCTTATTGTACATTGAAAAATCTGTTTACCTGAACTTCCTCGGTTTATCCATTTTCCGGGTATATCTTAATTTTTTCAGAATACATTTGAAACAGTACGTTGTTTTAAAATCAAATTGTAAACGAATGTGATAGGAATATTTGTTTTTGAACGTAATAACTGTAACTTCACAAAAAAATAAAAGAATCCCTTATCGTTCAGTTCCATCGAAATTGAAGCAAGTGCTTGACCTGGACAAAAAAGGTCTAGTTTAAATTGCGAAATTTAGTTCATTTCGTTCTGGTTCTGTTCATCTTCTATTAACGCTTAAAAATTAGGTGTGTGCCGTCACCAAGAGTGAGCAGAACATTGTCAACGCGGTTATCCTCAGAGGCCAGCTGGTTAGTCTTGTCGATGCATTGAGTGGCACAATCTTTATATTCTCGAACAACTTCACCATTCCATAGAGCCTAACAAATCTGTTAGCACTTACTACAACAACTTGGGTTTCATTCACAATATAAGAGGCTGGTGCCAAATATTTCTGGAAAGGAAAGTAAGTGAGAGACTTCGTTTACGAATGAAAAGCTCAAGTTTTGTAAAACTACGGTTTTGCAAATAAATTTCAGTCAATTGCAGACCCACTTAGCGGACCAAATTTATGCTAAATGGATTCAATAGACAGTTCGAAGGGGTGCGGCTAGCAGAAAAAAGATCGGTTCCTGCTGAAATAAATCTATCATTTTGCATGTGAAATTTATTTTGGTCTTTCCGCAATATAAAGGTCAATCCAGATCATTTCCGGAAAGAGGAAATCTCTTGAAATTTTAGATATGACACTAGTTTTCAAAAAAATGAAACTTGATTTACGTTGTCAATGAGTACAATTCCACCTGACCGCAGCAGTTGAACGCATCGTTCATAATAATTTGGATAATTCACCTTATCGGCATCAATAAACGCGAAATCCCACTTTCCAGACTGACCATTAGCTATCAAAGCATCTAAAGAAACTTGTCCTTATCCGTTTAATAAGCATGCGTCAAAGATTTGTTAGCTTCTAAATCGAACTAATGCTTCATAATAACAACACTGAGTTACATCTCCTATCTTAACTCAGTAATCCTTTAATCTTTATTTAGCTTAATCTCTTGCACACTTTACCCAATGTTTCTAAAGCAGGTCCCAATTTAAAATTGATCTTCTTGGCAATATCTGGAATTTTTCCAAAAATTTCTTTTTCTGTAATATTTAAACTTTCATGCGACACATCCATCGATAATATTTCAGCATCTGATGGCGAAGCAAGAGCCCATGCTAGTGCGGATGCTCCCGTAAATGTACCTGCAAGTTTACCATAATAAGCCAATTCCAATGAGAAGGTACCGCGAGAATTAACCGCACAAGATTGATTCGACAAAAATGTTTTCACTTATAATAATGCTTTAAAATAACTTGATACGTTGGAATGATTTTACGTAGAGTAATTAGTGGTCTTAAAAGCATTGTTTTCAAGTAAACTTAAATCCATGCATTTATCTTTATAATGAGAAATTATATTTAACGTAACGAACCAATATCCAAAATACGCTTAGCCTTAATTAATTTGATCATATTTTTTCCCATTTGAAGCACTTCAGGTGCTCCAAGCATGATATAATCTTTACGAATTCGCATAGTTATTTCGCAAAGCTTTTTCTCCATGACATCTTGCTTCACTGATATCTAAATATTTTCAAATACATAAAAGAATTGTTTTCAAATAAGCGGAAATAATGCCAATTTAGTTTCGGTGCTTATTGCTTGAGTTTCAATTGAGTATGAGTTAACTTTGAATATGGAATGCACGATTTTTTCTTCAAAGGGTATTATTTGAATTTCTTAAATATTTCAAACTAAATGGATAGAAAAAAGTGATGAAAAACTATGGCCAAAAATGAAATTTCTGATTTGAATATTTGGCGTACATTTGTGCAATATTGAATGATTGGATCATTGGTATCGTAACTTTTCGCAATTTTAACATTTTGATCGTGCAAAATATGATCATCCCTTCGACGATGAGCCATAGTCAGTACTTCATATCAATCCTTTAGTTTAGCAATCCATCTCTGCAAATTTCTTTTCGAATTATATTGATAAAAATTGATGAAAAACTCATGGGTTAACAATTGAGCGGAGTTATCATGGGATGAATAACGATAGCAATGAGAAAGAGAAGATGGAAATCAAAATAATGAACGAAAAACTTACAGTTTATCCTTTCCATGCTGGGTAATTTGTAGCATAAATGCGCAGCACATCAATGAAATCAATGAAAACTATTGGCTCGCAAACTAAATTTAGATTGAAGAAAAACTGACTTGAATCGTTGACTTCTTAATAAACAAAGTGCTCGTCCTTAAACACAAACTTATCTTGCCTTTATGTTTGAGAAAATTCATATTCGCTACAAAAAATATTGAACAAAAACTTCTCACATGAGAGAAGTGTCATATGAATATATGAGTAAAACTACAGCATGAAATTTCAAATTAAAATTTGGTCAAATCACTGTCCAGTAACAATAAATGGACCTAATTCATTCATTCTTTGTACTTGCGAATGAAATGAGAGTTTTTCTAAATGGAAGAAAAAAATGATTAATTAAATTCCATTATGACAGGAAAGGATATCGTACCGAGCTGAAGAATAATTTCGTCACAAAGACTGATTTCGTATATTGGTATTTTGATCAATAACCGAAGCATCGCTATGAAAATTATTAATTCGAATAAATTTGTTAACAAATGATGAGAGCTGTCCATCATTTGTAAACAAATTTATTCGAGTTAATAATTAATCGCGATAAAAGAATATCGTGGGATCTCGTGGGAATTAAAGAAATGAAATAACAACCATAACAACATTGTTATTATTCCATCTCTTTAATTCCACGAGATTCTTTTATCGCGATTACGTGGACTATATATAATTTACAATTACTTTGACAAATCATTCCTGTATAAAATGGACTTCAAAGACGTATATGAAAAATATGCCTTAAAACAAAAGGATCCAAACATCTCATTGCTAAGAGCAAAATAGTAAATTTAAGTTCAGAATTGTGACAAAGTTATGTGATAATGAGAAAATCAGCTGTAGGATTCATTTTCATCAATGCAATTAGGGATCAAACTTCGAATCTCAGAAATGAAGCATTTTCGAGATGATTTCATTCTTTAATAACTTTCCGATTTTATTAGGATTTGCATTAACTGCAAGAAATTTAATTCAGATTTAGGCTAAAGCTTAGAGCTACATGAAGTGCAATAGGTGAGTTCGTGCAACACTTTTCACCCCTTTAATGACTTGATGCTCTTTAGGTTTAAATTTATTCTTTTGAAATTTCGCTCAATTTCAAGGATGAGATTTAAAAGAATTATGTTATTCTGTATTAAGTGGCACAACATTTCAGAAATATTAACCTTGCAAGTAATTAAGTATCGATCTAGTAAACAAGCAAATTTCTATCTCTGGGCCAACAAAATCCGAAAGAAGTTAGCAAGAAAATGCTTAAATACGGTAAAAGGTAGGCGAGATGTCCGGTCAGTTGCTTTCTTTTTTTTTTTGTTCGAGCAGGACGGTGATTGATGGATAGATGAGTGCGTGCAAGCATTCCTTGCGTGCATTTGTGTTTGCAGAGATCGCATGCAGTAAGTTCTGGAGTGGTTTCTTACTCCATGGATGATCGTAGGAGAGGGTGTGTTCGTCCATCACCGGAAGTGCATTTTTCGTACACATATATATATACACACACACACACGTAAATCTATAAGTCTTTCTCTTTTCCTCCTTCACTTCAAATCTGACTTCATTTTTGATCCTAGCTGCTTTCTAGTGATTAGTTATCCTTCCATGTTGATATAATACAAATCAAAAGAAAAAAATTCAATAGCAACTGATCAGTATTGTGTTACATGTTATGTTATTGATAACACTGCTATACATCTCTCGTTTTATATTTCATTTTAAAATGTCTGTTTTTGAAATTAAATGAATATATTGCATAGAAAAAGTAAACCCTAATGAATTGAAGATGACATGCATTGGAGAACAGGATCGAATATAATGCGGGAAAGGATGCAGTGTACTTATAGCAACTGCGAGATTTGTTCCTCATGCTACCCATTGCATTTTATTAAGTACTAAGTGGCAGACGTTTTATATTAAACGTTTTGAGCAAATTTCAGCTTATATAAATCAAACAGATATTTGGAAGTAACGTTTTAATCGCTTTTTACTTCATTTTAGCAAAGCATGCATGTTAATATAAATTAACAGTGATTCATAACATTCTTCATTTTTATACGTTTTTAATAAAGCTTTCATGTACTAGTAGGACTGAATTGTTCTTTCTCTTTTAGGTAAATTATTCTCTCAAGAGGTAAGTAACCGAAAATGGTTGATAAGGATGGTGCTATGCTATCACAGGTTGTTGCGGCATTGAATGAGTTGCATACGACGACCGATCAAAAGCGATGTCGAGAACTGGATGATGCGTTGACTATGCTAAAGAAATGTAAGTTATATCGTAATATTATGATATGTCACATAGATAACAATCAGTGGATTAACGTCTTCATATCAGATAGTAACAAATGGATAAACGTTTCTAGATGAGTCAATGAATGAAGGTTTCTTTTTGTGCTACCTTGAAAATCATTCACCATAAGATAGAATTCCCATACTCCTCAAAAATTACCACACGTTGCATTTGTAGATGAAAACAAAAGCTTTTCTAACGCATCCTTCTGGTTTCAATTTCCGTTAAAAGGATGTGTGTAATTTATGATGCTTCGTCACATATTGTTGCTTATTGTATTTGTTAAAGCAGTGAAGCTATGCCCATAGAAACTGACAGGAATCAGCAAACAAATCATCACTTAAATAATCTAAAAAGATGACGGCTTGCTTGCAGCCGAAAATGGATTCATGATATCATTTCGTTTGCTTGACTTCGAGCAGCCAACTATTGTCCAACATTTTGGAGCATGCATTTTTTACGATACAATACGTGAACGTTGGGAGGAATGTCTGTCAAATGAAGCTTTGGTTTGTAAACATTTTCATGTATAGATTTTCACTTTTATTCACGTTATAAGATTGCTATATACAAAATTAAGGTGGAATATAGTAAAAATACACTTCTGAAATCTATAAGATCTTCGTAAATTATTTCAGAAGGTTTTTGAAGTTATTGCAAACAAGTCATATTACTTTTGCAGATAGTGAAAATCAAAGAAACACTTTTGGAAAAGTTGGCGCTCGGTGCTCCATTCTTAAATCAGTCTGTCACTAATAAGCTCACTTCATCATTAGCTATTTTCATTTTGTACTGTATGCCTGATATTTGGTCGGAACCAATTCAAGATTTGGCCACAATGTGGAATGATAAACCAGAATTATTATTAAGGCAGTTTTTTCTTACTTGTAACGATTAAATCATATCACCGAAATTTCTATCCAATTCAAATACAATTTTTTTTATGGACCACACTTTTGGATGACCTAGTAATTGTTTTTTACTGAAAATTCTGCTTTTTTTTCAGCTGATGTTAATTTTTTAATTGTCATGACCTTCGAAGTTATTGTTTTTCTTTATTGTTAGGGTTTTGGCTGAGTTGGCAGCGGAATTCTATCGCATACGATTGCCATTATCGCAACGATCCGTTCTGAAATCATCTTTACATCAGAAGGCTGAGGTATATCGTATTTTGCATTGACGCTGTCATGCTATGTAAAGCAGTGAACCACTATTTGTTACTCCTATTAATGGAACTGCATTTGTGATAACTGCTTGTTTCAGTCTGAAAGATATGTTGAATGAAGAGCAGTTAAAGCGGACAATGAGACAAAATCTTGATCATCTTTCATTGGTTTCATAGGCTGTTGATTAACAGCTAGAGAAATAATTGTAGCAATTAGCTTTTTCGGCTTTTTGCTTCATATTATCATTAATTTTGATTCTATTTTCAGGATGTTATAAAAATCATCAACGTGATTTTATGTGATAAGGACTCATCGCCATCTTTGAGGAATGCTGCAGTTGAATGTCTTGAACAATGGCTTCGATTGCCTAGCGTTGAACTAGTACGTTGGCAACCTGCACTTTTGCCTTTTTTAGGCAACCTAAGTGACAGGTATTCATTGAATTTATCCTTAAAGAGAGAAAGTATAAAGTTTTCATTCACGTTTCATCACTTCGAGATTAAAGAGGAATTGGAATTCGGAGCTTTCCCTTCCATTTTACTTGTTCTGACAACTATAAACAGTACAAGAGGACGAGATTATTACATCTATACTACTTCAGGGGTCATAAACGATCATTAATCAAAATATAAAACCACTTTGGTGGTTTTATATTTTGATTACTTCTATTATTAAAATGCGCAGTTTAGGGTTGCACTGGCTCGTATTTTAATTGTTGTTTCCACACATTCTGACTTACCATACATGGAAAACTTAGCGATGGATCTGGCTACATTTTTGGCGAATATCACATGCCCGGTTAATTTTCTTTCATTTTTTTTATGGATTCAATAGAAATCTTCATGTTTCTTGAAGTTATTGGCATAAGAAAATGTAGGTTCAAACTTTAAAATGAGCTTTTATGGGTGAGTGTTATTAATATATCACTACTGCTCTAATTTTTGCATCAGTATCTTGTCGTTCTGCTAGGTATTATAGCCCGGTTCATTCATTCCTATCACTTTCACAGCGTGCTAAAATTGACTTGTCAGTTAGCTCCTTCCCTCTCTTTATCTATCCATATATACATGTATGCACATGATACTTTTTGTCTTTTATTAAACATGAATTTCAGGCAGTTGTAGAACAACTTGATATTTTGAGCAAACGATATAAGGAAAAAAACGATGAGAACCGAGAGGATTTTATCTCCGAACTTGAAGAATATGGATTTCTAGTATCGGCATTAGCTGAGTTTTTTGAAACTACAATACGATTGTTATTAATCGGTTGTGTGGAGAAACGGAATGGCGAAGTATTGAGGTAAGCTTATAAAAAT